CCATAAAAAAAATCAAATACATTCACGAAATGAAAGAGACAGAGAGCGAGCGAGTGAAAAAGACACACGTACGAAAATATATCGCGAGAGAGACACATGAAGTGAAAAAGTGTATCCCAGTCAGAAAAGGTAAAAATGCTCCGTGTACAGTGTACACGGAATCAAACCAAAATACGAGGAATAAACAAAAATAAAAAAGAACAACACACTGCACGGTGTATGTGTGTGTATGGCTGTTTTTTTTTTAGACTAGTTGGGCGCTTTCACACATATTCATGTATAACGTAACACATAAAACTTTTTAACGACAACAAGCAATGAGACTGCGACGACAGCGATATATGCACACAATAGTCTGGTAAAACTGTTCACGGTGTGTCGTTTTTTTTTTGTTTACCTCTTGTACACTCGCACTCGACCCATCATCACTTACCCGAACAACGACACATACACACAAATCCATAAACGAGAATGTACATCGCTTTTTTTTCCTTTCGTTTACCCGTGACAGCCAAAATTGATCAAAATCAAGCATACTTTGTAGCATTAAATTGGCTTTGCACACAATTCCGCATAGGGTAAGAAAATGTGGAAAGCGAAGCACTTTAACGCGACAACATTTCAGTTTTAATCGAAATTAAAGTGGCAACCGCAGCAGCATTTAATGCAATCCATTAACAAGCAATTAGCGCAGCGACGTTTTTAATTAAACTCAAAAACCGAAAATTGTCCAGAGAAAACTGCGACGAATGATCATTTGCTACGCTTTTCATTCATTTTATGTAACAATTAACCAGATGCGGTGGCATTTAAGCCGGTTCGCTTGTTAGCAAAGTGCACAAAATTCAAATCTAACGTTTACTTTTTATAATCGTGTGCCTGTTGTTTTTTTTTTTGCTTTGCTTTGCATTTCGTGTTTCAATTACATAATTCAAGCGATGGATTTTCTCTTGTGGCTTTCAAATGGGATTTTCCTTTTAATGCACTTGTGATAAAGCCTCTTGAAATGAGAAAAAAAAAGTGCTTCAAACTGGTTGAAATGTCAACTTCACAAGCAGCGCACACACAAACTTATGTTTGTTATGCTGGAGGGACCAGAGATTTTCTCACCGTGTGATCGTGACCGAAAAAAAATGGTAGTGGAAAAGATGAAAAGGTTATTAAGGCCAAAAACAAAATGAAAAATTCAAATGTGCAATAAATTGTGATTTATCTGCATATTTCAATTATTTCAACGCTCATAAATTCTGAACCATTTTAATAAGATGTTTTAACACGAGATATGTGTGCCTCGTCTATCATTTCGATGCAACACATAATGTGCGCGCGATAAAGAAGTGAGTTACATTTGATGAGTTGTGGCAACACAGAGAGACCACACTTGCAGTCGCCACATTGTGCACATGCGATGGCATTTCTTCTTTTGCTGGTTGTCGAATGCCACCATTCATTCCACATTTTTCTCTCGTGAATTCCATTTTCTAGCCTATTTCAATAAAATGCGATAATCAAACAAGTCTTTGGATGATGATCATTTTCCAAATGCATAGCTATGCTCCGACCAAGAGATGAAAACAAAACACAAAGAGAGGAAAAAAAAATCGGTAAATAAATATGTGCGTGTGTTTGTCGAGTGTCGATTGTATTTGCACAACTGGATTAAAAGAGAAATAGTCAACATCGTCTCACGTCGATCGCTCGCGCCTGCTCCACACATTCATTCGCTCTTGCTCAACGAAACTAATCAAATATTTATCCAAACAATTATATACTTGTCGTGATAATAAAAACCATAACGATTTGTTCTTCTTAACAGCGGCATACCAGAAACAGAGAGAAACACTCAATTTGCTCGCCAGGGAAGTTTTTTTTTTTTCATCAACAACACCGAGTTTTTTTTCCATCGTAAGAAATGGAAAAAAAACATATAAAAAGCGATTTTTTTCGGAATCAGGTACCTAGACAGATTTACCAGGAAAACCTATAAAAAAAATACGCTCCATCCTTAAATCTGTTCGCTCTTTCTGGTTCGTCTATTTGAACGATGTGTCGCCGATTGTCTTTCTCCTCGACTTTCTCTATTGATTTAGGGCATTACATGTGTTTCGTTGGAAAATGAAATCTGTTCTGGGCTGCAGTTCGACGGATTATCACTCAGTCGAAATGTGAAGCGCAAACACTTTTTCCTTCAATTTGTTTACCACTTTAGATTCTCATTCCCTCTTTTCGTTTCATTGAAGACAAAACAAAAACTTGTTTATTTTACTGATGAATTTCCCGATTTCAAGTCAATTCGTTTTTGTCTTTTTATCAGCGAAAATAATTCATTCATTATCGTTTCATTAGTGTGGCATGGCGGTGCCATTGGATAAAGAGCAATCTCTTCTTAAGAACTGTTTGATTTGTCTCGGTAATAATGATGAGTAAATGTTTGTTGTGGCTTATGGAATGGTATTAAGTTGAAAGCGTGCACAGTGCACACACAATGCCCATATCTATATTGCCATCTTTAGCGGTTGATAAACTCCATATTACACGTCAACATATTTATTGGGGAAGAAAAAGACGACGACGACGACGACGACGACGATGCACAAAAAAGTAAGCTTTCAATCGTATGGTATGAGTCGTTTATGACATTTAAAGCGTGCAACTTGTTCGTTTGTCCAATCCCCGGCAATGCATTTGCCAATTGCGATCTCCACCGCGCACCTCTGTGGTGTATGCAACAATAAAAATGTACACTTTAATGAGATTGCACGTAACATGAAAACAGCGAACAATTTAATTATTTAATAAAATCCGTTGATTTGTTATATAAACAGAGAGAGAAAAACTTTCCTCTTCCTTTTTACTTGTTCCTTGTGCGGCCGCTCGCCGACTTGTTTCCTTCTCTATATGCATTTTTTTCCGTTGATTCGCCCGAACGAATGATGCACAAGTGATTAAGCGAATATTTGTTAGTTATTATGCGCTTTGTCGCACCTCTGCATGTGTGTGGCTTCCAATCGTGAATTTATGATTATGACGATGAAAAAGGAAAAAAAAAACATATTTAATCACAAATTGACCAATGGCGTTGAACGCACGCGCATTTTTCCAAATGCATGAATGCTAGGTAATGAGCAAAGAAAAAGCCACAAAAACGATTATTATTTGCGATTGAAGGTGTCGGGCGCGCACATAGATAGCACAGCTGCATCTATGACAACCGATTTAGCAAATCGTTTTGAATAATATCATTGAAAACACATATTAATTGTTGTCATTTCCGTTGTGCTATGGCTTAATTCTCACATCACCGCCACACATACACACACAACCGGACGCAATTTTTATTTTTTTTACTCCGTTTTTTTTTTATTTCTATCGCATTTGGCCAATTTTTCAATTGCGAAAGTTGACTTTTTTCACCTTGACTTTCTAGTGAGCAGGAAAATCGGGCCCGCATTGACGACATCATTTTTTTTCGCGTTTGTCGCGCGAAAATCTCTTTCCAATCTTCGTGGGCAATCAATTCGTTTAAAGAGCAGACGTTTTAAATTGCATTTCTTATGATGCACATTACGTCTAACTGTAAATTATAATGACATTAAGTAATTAGAATATCAAACAGCGATATATTAATTCTCTCTGCGAGGTGAGTGTGTGTAAACTGTGTACACTGTATCATGCATGCATGATGAGAGATAGAGCGAGAGCGAAGACAGGCTGTGAGTACGGATGAGAGAGTGTCGGGCAGTTGGTGAGATCGGTCGTTGGCATAAAATGCGATATAATTGACATAAATTATGCACTCGGCATCACTTGAAAGCATCCATAACATATATCAATTACGAATACATACGCACACCGTAATATAGATTTTATTCGTCGTCGTCTTCGTCGCCGTTGTTGTTGTTGTTGTTGTTGTTGTTGTTGTAATATTAAACGTAATTCTAATGACTGCTTGACACAGCTCAGAAGTGAACAGCAGTGGATGTGCTGTGGCATCGATGCGTACTCGCATATGTAAATATTTGAACATTAAGTATAATTATGCAGAAAGAGGTTTCTTTTTCTTTCAGCATCTTCTTCGTTCAGTTCATGTTATTTTTTTTTGCTGCTGCTTCTGCCGCTGCTGGTGTGTTGCTGTGCTATCGCTGGCTTTGCAAAATGAAATTTATTTTAATGCTTTTGCGTTATTGTTATTATTTATCCATTTACCGCGAGTTTCGATAGCAGCAGTGCGCTCAACGGCGGCAGCAGCAGCAGCAGCTGTTAACGTTGCTAAGCAAATTCAATGAGATACGCTTCACTGAATTTATTGTGTCACCGTGAATCGATCGATTTATGATGTTGACTTTGGATCATTTCGCGACGTCAACAGCCATGCCGTGACATTTTCAATCGCTTTCTCTCCATTCTGTCTTTTTTTAATTCCAATATCATTGACCATTAATAAAATATTATTTTAATTTGTGTAATTAGCCGTTGTGTTGGCTTTGCTTCCGCGCTCGTTGCACTAGCGATACAAGCAAATCGAAAATTAATTCAAATGAGACGCATCTTATGCGCGATACGATCTCACTATGATCCAAATTCACGAGTGCATAATCTGTCTCTATCTCGAAGCAATGGACAAAACGGTTACTTGTCAATCGTGATGGCATTTAATATACATTCACCTTTCAAAATTGATGATTTTGATCGATTTTCCGTTTCGTTGTTGTTGTTGTTGTTGTTGCTGCTGCTGCTTTGGTGTGTCGATCAGAACTTGTCCGAAGCCCTAGAATTTTATGAATTTGTAATTAAAAGTCATTGGTTCTATCACATACGCTGCAAAAGACTTGAAAGACACTGAGAAAAAAAAAACCAAGATTGCAACAGGGAAAAAAAACAAGAACACACTCACAACAACAACAACAAACGATCGATCGATCCAACGAACGAACGAAAAAAAAGCTGAAATAAAATGAAAAATTATTGAACAACAGAATGGAAGATGAATCGAAATTTACCACGACCATAGCCTTGAGTGTGTTTAGCGAAACTATTTACAACCGCATCGACGGCTTCTTTTAGCACTTGTTTCGCCTGTGCATCGGGTGCAATAGCAGCAGTTTGCGTGGACAGAACATTGGCTAGATTAACAATATCAGCACCCATCAGTATGTTATTACTACTAGTATTTTTACTGATTTTATTATTCAGATTCTTCGAATTGACCGTGGAAGCGTTGGAAGACGTCGTTGAATTACTCGATGGTGCGTTGCTTTTGCTGTTCACGTTGTGAGTGTTGTTGTTGTTATTGCTTACGATTGGTTTTGTTGACGGTGTGGACGTTGTGGCAGCCAATGCTTTTTTTCGCGATTTTTTTTTCATGAGATGCGAAGGACAATAGAGGGGAAAAGAAGAATAAAATGAGAATTCAGCAAAAAATTCGAAATATGATTTGACAATGATCTCGTTCACCGAAAAGGAACACAAACAATGTACGAAAGTTGGTTTTTTTCTGTTACTTCGATACGACACAGTTTTTTGACCCCAATAAATTCGATGCAATCGACTACCGTTTTACTTTCGCACGATTTTCAAACTGGACTTTTTTTTTAAATAGTTGTTGTTTTTTCCCCTTTTTTCTATTTTCGTTTCTTTCTTCTTTATTTTTTTCTCTTTTTCATTCTTTTTTCTCTGACTCAAATGTGTATCCTTTTCGGAAAGCGATCACACGGACGCGGAATCATAATTTTTTTTTTGCGAAATTACCATTTTTTCCATTGGGTTTGGCTGGTGTTGATTTCGCTAGTTTCAATGCCGTGCCATCATTTGTCGCGTTTGGCACGTTGTTGTTTATGCTGCTATTATTATTATTTGACACACCGACCACAACACTGCTGCTAATTTTCTTGTTTGAATTATTATTTTTCGTACTATTGATCTTATGTCCGGCTACAACTGATGCTATCAGATCACTTGTCGTTGATGATGTATTGCTTGTGCTCATAACTGGTGGCGATGAAATCGTGTGGATTTTTTGCATTTTTGCTTTTATCAAATTCTCACGTCAAACGAAATTATAAAATGCTTCATTCAAAGAAACTCGATTTCATTCAATCACTTAAATTGGGAGAGATCTTAAGGCTGATTGATAGATCGGGCAATCTCTTTCTCTTTTTTTTTTTACTCCGATCGTCTATTGATTTGCTTTTTTGTTTTAAAATAACAGTTTATGTGTATATTGCCTTGTGGTTTTTATTCTCCTTTTTTCGTTTTTCAGAACGCACTTGAGCATGCAGCAGCAACCGAACAACGGCGATATTTTAAAATGCACAGCACAGCATCGATTCTTCACCCGAATGATTAGCAAACGTTAAACATCGGTTCAGTTAGGGCTATTAAATCATTGTTTTTTATGAGCCGAACACGTTCTGGTTCATTGGAATTTCGCACTTGCCAAGCACTCACTCACTCACACTCTAATTATGAACTTCATTAACGGGCTAGGAGGAGCAAAACGAACATCAACTACAGCAACAAAACCATCAACAACAATATTTTCAAATTGCAATTAGAGCGGTTCATTCATTGAATTTTTCTTGTTTACACGATTTTAACTTTGACTGCGATTCATTCATTCTTTTCTTTTGCACAGTCGGTGTTTTTTGTTCTTAAATAGATAACTTGTGTTTTAAAACCTGCAAATTAATGGATATTTTTAGCCAGATCGTCCGTGAATTAGGCACTAATTCAAAATTTACGTCTTTGATAAATCGGTTGGATGCCGATGGGCAAAAAGGATCGTATTTTTCTCTCTCTCTCAATTGCTTGTAGTCGATATTCTTTCCTATAGACTCGAAACTCGTTTTCGTTCACATCAAGATCATTATTAGAAAATCGTTTTATTCTATTTATTTAACAAGTGAGCTAATCGAAAGCAATTTTATTTTCGATCATTGCCACAAGTGATCATCAATAATGATGTATGTGCCGCGCTCGTACTTATCTGTCTCACATACTCTTGCACGTGAATACACACACACACACACACCACAGAGAGAGAGAGAGAGAGAGAGAGAGAGAGAGAGTTCAGCTGCACTTCGGGAAACGATCGAATAAATTGAACACAAAACAATTATACACGATGCACCGTTCAGCCTGATGAGGTGGAATCAAATTAAGGCAAATTACAGTACATTCGAAAATTGTATTCTGGTGTTGAGTAATTCATCCCATTTATTCTTCTACATGTGTTCTTGTACTTTAGCCACAGAGCTGAGCAAAGAGCTTTCAATAATGCACATTTTCTATCGGAAAACGTTATGTGTGTCTCTTTCTCTCTCTCTCTGTTCCATTCGAAAAGAAGTCAAAGAAAGAAGGAAAAAAGTTAGCCATGGCAAATTGAAAAGCCATTAATCGAAAAGAGTCGTTGTGCATTTACGATGTAAAATGTAATTCTTATTGCATGTTGTCGGTTATAAAAAGGCGAGCAATCTGACACACACACACACACACACACACACCGGGACCCGAGCAACGAATAAAATACTGAGGCGCAAAATGCGAAGGAAAGAACACGATAAAACGTTTAAAATTATTGAAAAGAAGTTGAAGCGAAGAAAAGCAAGCGAGCGAGCGAAAAATACGTTGTGCTTTCTAGCGCAGGAGCAGGTCAGCCGTCAATTTCATCGATTGTCACAGGCACCGGAGAAACATGTGATACTTGCATCGATCGCATATCAGTCCGTCGTTCATTCGTCGATTTGAATCGAATACACAAACAATTATGATCAATCGAGACGTGCAGAGAAGACTGACAGAAGGGAAAAATGTACAGCAAAACACATACAAACATCCCATTTGCATGGGAATGTATAATAGTCGTGTAAGTGGCACTTTTCGGAATGGGCGCATTGTGATGATATCGTTGGACGATATTTTTATTAATGCGCCCAGATGGAATGATGACGATGATTATAGTGATGCAAGCCATTTATGATGGCCATTCCAAATATGGAGCAAACCATTACCTCAAATTTGCATATGTTAGCCCAGCCAGTTCTAAGATCGCGCAAACCGACGACGAAATGGACTTTTCAATTGAAATGGAAATAAGAACAAGGCGCGCGCGCATGTGTGCAAGAAAATTGTGCACGCCAAACTGACACGGTGTAACACACAGCACACACGAAAAAAAAACGACAGCCGAACGACAGTGAGCAGAAAAAAAAGTAAAGAAACAAGAGACAAAACGGGTGTGTTGTGCATGTTTCATTCGAACGGCATGTACTTTAACACATGCGATCGGAGCGAGCGCGCTCGCGCACACGACACTTTGTCGTTTACCTGTTACACTTAATGAATTAACTTTTTAATAAATATATTGACACAATTTTCGCACCGAAACCATTGTCGGCCGATTGAGAGAGTCGGTCGTCGAAGCTATAAAATTGATAATCATAATTAGCCACAGAAATTATTATGAACAAGCAATGAAAAGGTAATGTGTTTTCTCTTGTATTACGTTGTCGTGTAGGTTTTTCTCGTGGCTTTTTTTTTCTGCATGAAAATTGACACTGTCGCCTTGATATCTTGCCGATTTTCGGTCTTTCGAAATGCGAAACAGAATGCATAACCAAAGCGGCCAATTTTTGGTTCTGTCGTTTCCCTTTCTTTTCACAGAGATAGATTTTGTCCTTTCACACACAACAATTCAATGTGCGAGCGTTGCACACGACAAAATTTGCTTCGAAAAATTTTCCCACACTTCGTCGTTGCGCTTTTTTCCCTTCAGTCAAAGGAGGAGTTTGTGCCTTTTTTATATTTTCTTTGCGCTCGCATTTTTTTTTTGCTGTTTTCGTCTTCGCTCGCATTGCTGTTGTCTTTCGCAACAAGAAGCTGCTGTTTTGTCGTCGTCATCGTCGTCGTCTTCAGTAATTCAATACTTAAGCGACAGTTGCAAAGCGGCCCAATGTGCATAAAGGGACAAATTTATTCTGTCGTGAATGCGCTTTACGTTGATCCAATCAATTCGGTAAACACTTTTCAGCTCAATGTTCGGCGCAATTGCCCCTTTGATGCGGCCCAACAACGGCTTTTGTTACAACGATTTCCTTTTACAACGTGCAAAACGCCAAACAATCTCTCTCTCTCTCTCTCTCTCTCCTCTTTACCAATCAACCGCATCCTCCGATTTATTCGCTTTACTTCACGAAATATGTTAAAACTTTAAATTAAAACTCAAACGGTCAACAAACGAAAAAAAATGAAATAATTACAATTTGGTCGAAAAAACAATTTCGATGCAAGAAACAAAAATAAACTATTTGAGAAGCAAAAAAAATAACAACGAAAAAAATTCCAAGCAAAATGAAACTCAAATGAAATATATCGACGATCGAATGAAATAGGCAAGAAGTGTCTTTGCGCGCACACCAAAATAACAGAGTGTCTTGCGTTGTGTTTTGTTAAATCGAATGAACCGTTTCACTTCGACAACTGCATATAACTGACTGCTGGTGCTTTTTCTGGTGACTTTAAAGTAGTTAAATTGCGTTGAAATTGAACGAAAACGAAACATAAGGAGAGGCGAAAGAAAAGACAAGAAGGAACCTGAACGAAACTTCAAAGAGAACCAAGCAATACACAGAGAGAGGAAAAGAACGAGAAGATAGATCGAAAGAGACGGAGAGGGAGAGAGAAAAAGAGAGCGTAATGGAATGAGAGCGCAAGCGGGCCAATGATGAGGAAGGTAGAGAGAGAGAGAGAGAGAGAGAGAGAGACAGAGGTAGCGAAGAGAGCGACACATCGAACGTTGATTATGATTACTAATATAAAAAGCGTATAAATATACATATAAGAAAAAGGCATGTGTTATGTGGTGTGGCATACACAGTGCAAACGGAATCGTTGCTGCTTGGTTTGATCGTCACTCAGCTCTTGGGCCATGCTCACCTCTGCTGCTGCTGCTGCTGCGGTTGCTGTATATGAAAAAGCACTTCGGCATAAAAGAAATGAAATGAATGCTCAAATGTAATATTGCTATATCCATATAATCATACGGCTGCTGCTGCCGTTGTTTCTTCTCCGCTTTTTCCATTCGATTTTCAAAACGAAAATTTTGAATCAAATGAAAGAAGACGACAAGGAAAGGAACAAAAATAGCAGCAGGAGCAGCAGCAGCAACAATACACGCGGGCATGAATATATAGATTATAGTGTGGATGGTTGGTGTTTTTGCTCTCTCTCACTCTCTTTCTCTCTGGTATGTATGTAAATGTCGTCATTTAGCATCGACACAATGATTGCGTTGTTTTCTTCTGGCTTACTGTTTTGTTGCGTTGTCTTCTGGGCCCTGCATGATGATCATCATCGAACGCGCTCATTTTTATGGAAGATTCCCCAGAACCTATTAATAAATTTCGCGTAATATCTGATTGACTACTGACCATTGAGCCACACTCACTCACTCACTCTCTCTGGCATCTCCTATAAAAAAACCTTATCAAGACATCAATCACTTGTTCATACATCGTTCGTAATGCGTTTCCCAGGCGAATAATGCCATCCTCTTTTAATCTCTCGTTCGTTTGCTCACTCACTCTCGTTTTGACCCTTGCGACCGATTATGGATTTTTCCTAGTCGAAGCGACTAAATATTTATTCCAAAAAGCATATAATTTCAACATTAAGCAACGGGGTACAATCTTTTAAGCGCACATTTACATGCGCACGTTCACCTCATCTCGGTACCTAATGAACACTGCACACTTCTTTGTTGAGGCCAATGGAAATTTGCATAAAATTAAATGCGAGAGCGAGAAACAGAGAAGAAAGAGAAAAAAAATGTATTTGATTAACGATCAATATATCATTACTGGATTGTGTTCTCTAAAATTTAGCTGATTTGCCGCAAAAAGCATCGAGAAATCGAAATGTGCACGAAATTGTGGAAAAAAAGGAGGCGAACAGAAAAAAAATCAAACAAAATCTCATCGGCTATCAATCGTTTGCTTATTTGGTGTAACGCCATCACGAGAAAGAGATTGGCGTTCTGTCAAAGATGAGTTCGCCGCTCGTAATTTGATATCAGCATTCAATCACTCTAGAAAAAAATCAGTTGGAAGAAGAAGCTTCCTACGCACGACAAGTTCCATTCGTTACGAGGCAGTTCTTTTTTGCTCGGCACGGTAAGGTGGCGGCTGCGCAGAAAAAATTGATGCATCGGTTTTGAGTATCATCAAATACAATCGCCAACCTATTGAAGTCTATCGTTTCGTTTTCTTTTTTCGTTTGTAAACTTCTGTATTTTTCGGCGATTTGATGTGAATGCGCAGTGCTTATGCGCTTTTCTGTGTTCACTTCATGAAATGTGTATAATTTTTCTTTCTGCCTCATCGCCATCGTCGCCGCCACCGCCATCAAATGATGATGAACAGTTTGTGGCGGATCACACACCGAACCGAGAGAGGAGAAAAAAATTTGTTAATTTCTGTTGTTGCCATTATTTTCCATTCTTTTCGTATCTTTCTTCGATCATCATCGATGTGTCTTTGCTGTTTGGTACCTTCCGCAAATATTGGTTGATGGTGTGCGTGTTTCACCGTTTACAAAACAAAAACGATGCAACAGAACTCCAAGAGCTAAGCCAGCGAGAGAGAGAGAGAGAGAGAGAGAGAGAGAGAGAGAGCGCGAACTGTATTTGTGTGCGGATTTTCGGTAAATGATCCGTAGAACGGAGAAAAGCGAGAGAAAAAAAGGCGCACACACAGCGAACGGCGAATAGGGATTGTTGAACTCATAAATATCATAAAACGTGTATTTTTTAGAGAAGGAGTCGATGAGAGTTGAAGTGCCTTTGCATAAATGTTTGTTTGTGCACTACGACACATTGTGCAGCATTCTAACACTGTTTGCTCTGCTTTGCTCTCTCTCTCTCGTTCTCGCACTGTGTGTCTCTCTTCCTCCGTTTGGCTGGCTGGCTGGTTAGATGGCTGCGCCAACGACACTCTTGTTGTACGCCGACAGTGACTCATACACATCTATGCAAATACGTTTATTACGTTTCAATCAGGTTTCGTTGACTCTTTGATTTGTGGTGCTGTGTGTTTGGATTGCTTTCGCACCGTTCGACCGATGCCTTCTTCTCTTTATGATACACACGTCTCATATTCGCCTTTTCTCTTCTCCAACAGGTTTTTTTTTCATAGTCGCTTGCATTTGGCTCTTCTTCTTTGTCCTAGCATACTTTGACTTCTCTGAAAGCGTTGGCTCTCTCTCTCTCTCTCTCTCTCTCTGTATCTCTTTCGTTGTGTGCTCTGCTGTGGTAGCGAACTCTTTAAATATGCAACAAGGCCTAATCAGCTGATAGTCGAAATCATTTTTTTTTGTTCTTGTGTGTGTGTGTTCTGAATTTGTGACTGCGCATAGAAAAACCAAAAACCCAACCATCAATTCACATTGTCACTCTGGTTAAACACTTCAAAAATGACATAAATTTTTTTTCTTTCTTGATATAAATTCGTTTCTCATTCGGTTCGTGTTTGATATGACGTGCGTACGAGACAACAATGATTATATCCGCGCCTTCAATCTCTTCCTTTTATGTACGTCTCCACTTTGCCAATTCACAAGAAAACCAAAAACGCGATAAACGAAAACAGAAATTGCTCCTTTTTTCCGCGCACATTGTGCGCTTCACATTTTCCTTTTCTTCTTTTCAGTGCGCTTTTTTTCTGCGGTTCTTTGCTCATTCTGTTGCTCTTCACTGCTTTGGAATATAATAAATAATAATAATATATCTCGCGTATTTAACATTAAATGGCGACAACATACTCAAAGTGTACATGATGTTGAAGCATCGTATTTTATTCGCGCATGTTTTTTTTTCTTTCCTTCTTTCATTTGCTCGCGTTGATTCGGTTGCGTAGCGCATTTTTTTTTACTGCTGTTGCTTCTGCTGCAACTATTTGAGTGAGCTCAGCGATCATTGCAGCAGAAATTCCGATGAGAACCATTGGCCATTTTACGTGCATGTGAATCCAAATTTGAATGTATGCTATGCATATTAGGGTGGGCGATAAAGGCAGTCAGGCAGTTTTGGCATCAAAATTGGAATCCATTGAATTCGATTTGAATGGTTTTTTTTGGACTCAATTGAGGAAATTTATTTCAAATAATTAATGATTTTCGTCACGAATGACATTTTAACTGAACAAATTTGTACTTCGTCTCAAATGATCGTCAAAATGCTACAAAGAATCCAAATTTCCTATTGTTCTACAATTTCGCAAAAAAGGAATGCTTTCATTCACTTATTTGAAAAAAAAAATCGATAGAAAAAACTCGACCAAAAATCATTTGAAGAATCGAAAAATTGCGTCGTTCCAAAAACTTCGTTGCACTCTATCTGCGTAGAAGTGTGGTAAATGACAAAAAGATAGACGACTAGAAGATATAGCTGGATGACGGTAATAGCGCGTTGATCGTGATGGTGCATGAGTTTTTGGACTGAATAAACGCATTTTATCACCGTTCACGGAGCTTACCAGTTCTCCATGGTACTCTTTGCTCCCGTTTTCACTACGTGTGACTGTTTGTGTGCTCTGTTTTCATAATGCATTTGTCGTTCCCTCTTCCTTTTTTGTGCGCACTCAAAATGAGCGTGTGTATATACTCTGATGTGTGTGTGTGTTTTTTTTATATTCATTCGTCGTCGTCTCTTGTGTTCTGAGTCTTTTGTTCCGTAATTTAAATTTTTTTTCCTTCTTATTTTTTGATATGCTGTTGCCGTGTGCACTCACTGCATTTACGCGACGACGGCAAATTTGGCGAGCTGCTGAAAATGCATTTCAATTTTTGTCTCTCTCTCAAATGCGCATCGTAGCAAGTAGCTGGTTAAATACACGAACGAATTTTGATGCGATCTTTCGATTTTTCGGCAAGTTGTACATTTTATTTTTACCGAAATGCATTCCGCGGAGTGCGCACTTGCGCGCGCGATTTTCTGAATTTTGCGTTGAAAATTGGCTAAAATGCGTGCCGTTGTTATACTCTGCACTTTATGTCGTCGTTTTTGTTTTGTTTTTCGATGCTGTGTGTGAGCGGGCGCGCGCGCTCCTCGGTTTTTGGGCTGAGAAAGGGCAAAAAGGTAATCTTTTTACATTACGTAACTTGGACAACGAACGAAGTATTCGCATTTTAGCGACCAAAGAATTTCAATTGAATCTTGTTTTTAGACATGTCTTTGCCCTTGTTCGTTACAGCTCGACAGAAAAAAAAGATGCAGAGCTGCAGTAGCCAAACAGAGAGAAAGATACGTTTTTCGTGAGAGATTCAATGTTATTTTAATTTTAATTTTTGTCTTTCTTTGATCACCGCCAATTTTTCATCATCATCTCGTCGCCGAGAAATTCTATTGCATTTCAACAAAACTTTGATTGACATTCAAAGAGCATCGCTGCAGCGGCTGCTGTTGCTGCTGTTGCTGCTGTTATTGCTCTCATTGTTTGCCAAAGCCAAACTAGAGAATGTTGCTTGCTCAAATATCTTTCTTTCGTTCGCGACAAAAGCAGCAGCAGCGACGACGACGACGACGACGACGACGACGACGACGACGACGACGACGACGACAGCAGTGGCAGACCAACGAAAAAAAAGGTGACACAATCGAAGAATCCGGTATGTGTTTGCTGATTTCCTTGATTTGCGGTTGCCAGCAAGCCGTTCGATGAGCTTATGATTCAACGATCGTTGTGCGCTGTGCATGCAGCTACAGGCAAAAACCATTTTTGTTCCCTTCATTTTCTACATCTTTAGAAAAATATTAAAATCATTCTCCCAGAACTGACACATGGCGACGCGATGAATACAAAAAGAGTGAAAACACCCGCAGAAAGGTTCCATTAGTGCCAAGGCATATTAATGCGATGACATGTTCGTTGCCCGTGTTCTTCAGCTCTTTTCTCTCTCTCTCTCGCTCTCGCTTGCATTTTTTCCATTGCTTTGATCGCAACACGATCCGAACACAATACTATTCCGAATTGAAGTTCATAATGCAAATTACAATGAACTTGTGCGTAAAACTTTCATTCTAATTTTCGATTCGCTCGCTCATTCCGTCCCGTTGGTTCGTTTTTTCTTTGTTTTAAATTTTTAGAACTCACACACACACACACAACAATTGCGTTCGAAAAAAAATGAAACCATGTAATTTGAATAAAATCGTACGGGAAATGGCAGCGAATGATCACTATAAAATCGTCGACCGCATCGCAAAGTTCGCATGATTTGATACCATATTTTTAGCTACTATAATACCTCTGCGATAATAATAAGTTTTGCAGATGAGAAAAAAAGAGGAAAATAATAATGTGAAGCGAAGAATGAACGAAAGAAAAAATAGCAAGCGGTTGTTCTTTTTGGAATATGTTTTCAAATCGCTAGAATATCAGATTATTCCGACATTCCATGCAATCATATAGAATTTGCTATAGAAAACTTGTTGTCGAGCCTTGCGCGTGAAGCGATCATTTTTAGTTTATGATGGTATTGTTAAAATTAACGCCGGGCAAATTAAACAACAACAACAATGACGACCGCATCAAAATCAGCAGCAACAAAAATAGATTGATGAAGAAGTTGCTTATTTGTAATAGTGAACGTTCAAGAGCATTGAATAAATAAATGGTTTAAAAGAAATGAACGCAAACCACACTTCCTCATTGGAATTCTATGCCATCTTTCTTCCATCTCTGTGTGTTCCAATTCTCTTTCTCTGTCTCTCACTTTTGTTTCTATTTTCTTTTTTCATTATTTTAATTCATTTTGAGTGATTTTTTTTTCCTCTTTCCGCGATTTTGTCTTCTCTTTGTGTGCGATTTTTTCTCTTCTTTTCGCGACACAGCCAGAGCGTAGGTTTGGAAAAAGACGACGACGCTTCATGATGTTTATCTCGAAAAAAAAAATCTATTCAACGCTTGAAATCAAAATGAAGATATCATTTGTATGGCATCTCATTTCAATCGGCCGACACATTCACCACACGCATTCAGACCAAAGCGATATCAATAATGCCGATGATTACTTTGACCTTGAAAATAGAGATATTTGCATTAATTAACTGCTGGACATCGATATCGGTATTGATATTGATATATTCATCGTCATATTGTTTGGCTGGTTTCTTTCGGTTGTCGCTCTTTTTCTTCTCTTTTATCTTGTGTGAAGTCTTTTTTCTTGTTTTTTTTTTGTTCAATCTCTTTTCCGCCGTTTATCTGTGTCTCACCGTACACATCTCCTGGGACACATTTTTCAAGCGACACAACTGTCAGCAGCAAGAGTCACGGTACTCGACTGTGTGTGTGAGCTCGAGCGCGCGCGCTCAGTTCAATCCATTCAAAATAAATCATGAATTTTATTATCAGTTTATGGATTTCGTGTGTTTTTCTCCATTTCAATCGAATGCCTCTTTTTATTGCAACCATTATCAACGAAAAAAAAGAACAGATTCGATATTGATCCATGCTGATTTCGAAGCGAATGATTCACTTTGGGACAACATAATCAAGAAGAAGAAGGAAAAAAAAACAGCCAACCAACCAATTCAAAATAGAGACATTTCACAAAAGTTATGCTTTTCACTATAAATTTATTGCCGTAGCGGTAGCGCATGCACAGTAAAAAACATGATCACTTCCTCATGATAGCCGAGAAATGAATTTTTATCGCCATTAAAACGATGCGGTTATATCAAATATGGTGATTGCCTGTTTGAAGCGCATCAAAACATGATTTAGAAGGGAGAAAATTTATATCTAGTTTTGATCATTTTTTTGTGTGGTTGCGACAACAAACAAAAAAAGCATAAATTTGTTTCAATAAATTAAAGATTAGAAGAGAACGGTTCATTTTTGTGAAAGAACGTCATTCTTTTGATCAATGTTTTTCTGTTTTTTTAAATGAAGTTGCCAATTTCAAGCGGATAGATCGAAGAATCGCTTCGGATAGATAGCAAAATGAGCACGTGTGTTGACTACCGCTGCGAAATAAATCGACATGTTTTCACCAAACATAAATCACAACTGTCCAAAAACGAAGACTTATTTATGAATGAGAAGAAAAAAAATTAGGAAATAAATATCCATAAAACATCGATTAAAAATCAATAATTAAATTCAGAAGTGTGGTCAACCATTTGCATCGAAAAATTGATACGATTGGTATTTTCGATGGCAAGTCGCAATATTTAAATTTTTATACTTTGCTAATGATTGCCAGCTAATAAAAAAACGCACACACACACACACAACCGTCGACCAAATTCATTCACCCAACGCAAGCAAATCGACATAAAAAAAACACATTTCTCCCAAAATTGGAATTTGGACGATAAATTTGTCACTCGGCCAACCAAACATTCATGGCGGTGAAGCTAACCAAACATTCATTTCACACACAAATCAGGCACGTTGAACATTTTTTCTTCTTCTCTCGATATATAAAATTTTTATACAATTTTTATATGGGCTTTCTCTCTCTGACCAATAAATGTCAAATATTTCTGTAAACCAGCTTGCATTTGTGAATATTATTGGCAATCGTGTTTGTCCATGATCCCGGAGCCTCATTCTCTCACACATACCGTGTCAAAATCCATCCAATCAGAGTAAAGAGTCAGACGCTGTGCGCTCGCGCACGCAGATGAGGCACAATCGATAAAAGGCGATCAAAAAACTTCACCGTCACTCATAAAACGTTACATTGTAAGCAAATTGATGGCTGCGATTTTATTGCGACGATTAAACAAAAGCAATTACTAATAAGAGACTCTTCAGTTTATAAGACCGATTCTCTATCACACACTCTCGCGTGCTCATCCTCTGCTTCTCGCTCTCTCTCTAACTCTGGCTCTCTTCATTGTTCGCAAGAATTGAACGTTTGGGTTGACTTAACGATCGATGTGTGAATAAAGTGCGAGCCAGCGTTGGATGGGTGAGGAAACCAGACGATATAAAGACGATTATGGTTTGACTGAATATTACCGTTGCCAACACACACACACACACACTCACATCAACAAAGTATTAAATAAGCTTCCGACGAATCTCATTATCTCAAAACATTGTTGGCCGTAAAAAGAATTTTATCGCCAGTTGAGAGCTTGCATATGCACTCCTTTTTACACCAGATACTTCTTATATCACTCGCTAAAAAAAGTCACACTTTTTCTTCAGTTGTTTTTTATTTGTTCAATGTTAATTCGAAGTCATTTGTAATCACGGTGTGGCGATTTTGATGAACGTTGCAGTTGTATCGTAGAATTTTTTTCATTGGCATACTCCGTTAACACCTAAAGTGAGACATTTGCCAATAATTGCAGCACACATTGTCATAAATTGTGACGTAAAACGAGTCATTATGCGCTGACTGTCAATTTATAAGTTTCTTTTTACCATAGTTTTCCGTCTTCATTTTGCTGAGTGAAAAAAAAATCTATTTTCAATTTATGCAGCATCATCCATAAATGAAGCAATCGAAGTACACATTAAAAAAAGGACACACGGCTCAATATTGATCGAAAGATTCAGCTTTTTTTTATTGGGATACCAATAGATAATAAATGCTTGTTTAATTGAAAAAAAGTGTAGGATTAAATTTTAATTCAACGAAAAATACTTTTCATCTTAACTCTCGCAGCGTCAAATAATTAGGACCCGTGGTTAAACACTAAGATTTAAATGATTTCTTTAGAATACAAGTCGCGACATTGCCATATGTGATACTGGGACAAAAATGTACAAATGTCTGATATCTTTTAAGAACAGAGCAGAGATCTCATCAAAAAAAAAGTAAAGAAAATTAAGCTTTAAGGTAGAGAAGGCAGTGGAAAATTAGTAGTACAATATTGTTTGTCAGGACAAAGTATAAATAAAACGGGCTTCATAACTGAATTAAGCACAAGAACAAAAGTAAACTAATCAGACTATTGTACAACAGTTTTGCAGTCATCGCGCAGTTCCATTCAGATCAGTCAGTGGCACATACACCACTGACATCAATTTTGTTCGGCTCACTTCACCTCGCTCATCTTTGTCATACTGAAATTGATATTTTTATAAATAATTATTATGAACTATGGAATCATGAAATAAGTAGAAGAATGAATCAAACATTAAATTAGTTGATGTCAACGAACCATCTCTAGATATTGAGCTCCAAATTGAGGTCCAACCGGACAAATCAATCGGCCTCCATTTTTCAATTGGGACAGGAGAATGTCAGGAGTTTTCGGAGCCGCAGCACCAACATGTATAATATCATATGGAGCAAATTCTTCATAGCCATTTCTTCCGTCACCCTCTAAAAAAATGAATTTCAACCAAATTTAAATTTTGTTCAATCCAATGAATTTTGTAGATTTTTCAACAAAAATCATTTGAACTTATATAACTCACTACATAAAAATGAAATCGTGTTTTAAATTTCACTAACCAACAATAACCAATTCACCATTCTTGATAAAGTTTGGATCATCGGCGTTAATATTTCTAATGGCTAATTCAACTAATGTGGCTTGATGCTCGATTCCAACAACCATTTTTTCATTGCTCGCTTTCGGTCCGATTGCTTTTCGATTTGCTCTAGCTAAACAGGCGGTCAAATAACCCGAACCGGATCCAACGTCCAATGCTCTGCCACCGTATTTGAACTTTTCCACAAGATTTTCCAAAGCGTAAGCGTGCTGAAATGGGGAAAAAAAATATTTGAATGAAATAAAATGAACTCTCATTGAGACGGAGCCAGAGTGAATGTATGAATTGATTAATTGATCAAAATTTGGAGTTGAAATTTAAAATTGCTCAAAGTATGCAAAGATCTTCTGAAATGCAGATAATTTCCGAAAAAACACAAATTCCATGCAAACAAATCGATTCTTAACAATTCACAATTTGCCATCCATTCAAATGCATCGCTTACCATGTGTGGTGCGCTAATAGTCACACCATTGCCAATACTTTGAGGTGCGTCTACGTATGGTGTTCGTGTGCAGTAATGTTTTCGATCGGTTTCTGTCATTAGCTCTTTAACTAATCGCGTTTTGATTACGCCAACATCTAAAAATACCAAAACAAAACGATTTGCACTATTTCCTTTAAACCACTTGAGATAATTTTAATCTGTGTTCTAGGTTCGATGAACTTACTTCGCCCAGCGACACATCAGTATTTTAATTAGAATCCCAAAATGCCTCTAATTGGAAATGATTTTTGTTTCTTACCTTCAAGTTGATTGATTAAATCAGCATTATCGGATCCAACTGAACGCCAAGCCATTCTGAGTGGATGAAAATTCTTCGTAAGATAAACAACTTCTTGGACTAAACGACGTAAAATCGTGACCATAACAAATTTCACTTCAGTTCTGTAAAATACGCATTCACGAAGAAAACAGCTGAACGCAATAACAAATAACAAAGACAGAGACAGCAACAGTGAAACGTCAAATTGTTCTAAACATTCTGCCAGCATGAATGCACTGTGTTATTGCGATACATTTAGCGATTTGATGTTGATAATAATATGGAGGGTTTAACTATGTGATGACACAGAAGGATACGTTGTTCCATTAGTCGCAATTTCACATTGCCAACTATTTTAAACGAAAAATATTTATTGTACAACAGGCACAATACATAACTTCAACTTGGGGTGCGTTCAACGTGACACAATGCAACGGAATGACTATATTCAACACTTTTTCATGTAGAAATGTAAGCTAAATCTAATTCAATATGATTTTTCGTATTTTTTTTTCAGTAAAATCCTTATTTCGGTCCAAAACACAAAATTTTTTCTTACATTTTTATAAATTTATTGAAAAAAAAATCAATTGATGAGAAATACGTTTCCAAAACAAAATGTAAACATTCAAAATGAACTGAACCACAGTCAACAATCGGAACGGCAACGCGACACCTACCGACTCAAAGTGAATGCTGTCAGTTTGACGTGTGTACAAATGTCTAAAAAAAATAGTGAAACAGAGTGAAAGAAAACAAACAAGTAAACTTGTAGAAAAACAGAATCACAAGCTGAAAAGATTTTTCTTGTGATTTTTGCGAAAATTCATTGTTGGCATCGTTATTGAAGACCGTGAGTACAATCATTTAGTAAAACAATTTCCAAAACCAATTGAATAAATTGAAATTATCGCAAGACAAGGTGAAAAAATAGAGTGTTAATAGTGCGTCATATTTTTACACTAAATTACAACAACAACATCTAATCACAATATCACTCTATACCACTCAATTTCATAAAATAGTTGTATTGAATGCAAATTTTTCTATTTTTGCGATTGATTCAGCAGAAAATCAATTGTATTGTGGACAAAATGAGCAGTCGCACGGTGTCTAGCAAAAAAATTAGCACGTCTGACGATATTGATTTAACACGTAAGTAAAATGCGCGCACTCTAAAACAACTGAAACAACAAACACTTGATCTACAAACGAATTTAGTTAACCTTCGATTTTTCTTGTCTCTTCTTCAAATTTATTTCATTCTAATTCGTGTCTTTTGTTTCTTCTTTGTTGCATTTTGTATCGTATATGTCTATAAATAAACCGATGTGTAGTCGAGTTTTCACAGCACATGAGCCAGTTGTGTATGAACGCTGAATATTCCGATGTGACATTCATCGTTGAAGGAATCAAATTGCCAGCACATAAAATCATATTGGCCGCACGGAGTTCATATTTTCGAGCATTACTTTATGGAGGCTTGGCCGAAACAACACAACAGGAAATCGTTCTGAAAGTGCCACTCGAAGCATTCAAAGCCTTATTAGACTATATTTATACGGGCTGCATGTCACTGGCCAAAATGAAAGAGGAGAATATTTTGGACTCACTTGGTTTGGCCAATCAGTACGGGTTCGAATCATTGGAATCGGCCATTTCCACGTACTTAACAAATAGCTTGTCACTGAAAAACTGTTGCGCCATCCTGGATGCAGCACGATTGTACAATTTGGAAACACTCAGTGACGTGTGCATGACATTCATGGACAGAAACTCGACTGAACTACTCAACACAAGCGCATTCAAAACATTGTCACAGGATTCACTGTGCACTCTACTGGAACGCGACTCATTTTTTGCACCCGAAGTTCATATTTTCAACGCGGTTTATGATTGGTGCAAGAATAATCCCAATGCGGATATTGAGGTGAGATGGAATGAATCGAATAAAGTGGATAAAATTATGATTATTATTTTATTGTGAATTTCAACTAATTTTTTGTGTTCATTTCAGACGGTCGTTTCATTTGTTCGATTGCCATTGATGAATCTGGAACAGTTGCTCAAAATTGTTCGACCATGCGCTATTCTAGATCCAGATCGTTTGCTCGATGCAATCGAAGAGAAGACAACTTCGAAGAATCTTCTTTACCGTGGTGCTCTTTGTAAGATAAAAATCGAACTTTTTTGGAATTGATTTGAAGCAGTTGGATCCATGAGTTTCATGTGAAACTTAAAACTTATTAATTTTTTTCTTATTTTAGGGCCAGAAGAAAATGTTGCCTCAGCCAAATTCAACTCAAAAACCATCAAAGGCGAATTGCGGAGTGCACTCCTCGATGGTGAGGTCACAAATTATGATATGGAAAAAGGTATGGTTTGTGCGTTGTTATTGAATGTTCCTTTTTTGAACATATATCGTCGGTGCGGAGAAACACACAGTTGTTTTTTGATCTAATTTTCTCACTAAAAAAGTTGGTTTCTTATGAATGAATTGATGACGATCTGATTGATACTATTCTATCGCGCGACGGCAATGAATCATTCGATTGATTTTCATTTGCATTCGGATTTTTTGATTTACTTGTGTAGCAGTTGATGTCGCGTCTCAAAACATTCTGTGGTAAAAGTTGTTTCATGTTTTTTCTGTTTCAACGTAACAAGAAACTATTGTTCGTGTTTCCAAATGGTTTATTGCACCAAACGCGGGATTTTCGGTGAACAATTGCCATGGTCGATGAATGAAACCTTTGCAAAAAAGTCTTTGGTCAAAAATCAAAATGAGTGATTCATATCGTAAATACCCACAATGACTCTCCCATTTTTGTGTCTAACGGTTCAACCCGATGCAACTGGCCCATGTAGTTGACAGCAAAATTGTCGATTCATTGGTTATATAAATACAATTCGAATTATGGCATGTCAAAATTGGATTTATTAAGGCCAAAATTCATTTTAAATTTCAATTCTATTTCTTTATTTCATTGAAATAAAATCTGGTGAACAAAATTTTCTTTGCCATTACTTACTGCATGTCTTTGTACAATGTATCGATTTGTTTCTTGCATTTCTTCTGGACTCAGAACTTCAACTAACTGTTGGCGTCCAAAAGACGGACTGGAATTGTATCGCCGATATGTAGATCACTCCTTTGATTCCGTTCTGTTCACGTTCTTCCTCTTCGTCTAAGAACAAAGGGTAGGCCATTTGTTGTCACAATAAATTCCACAGACGATGGTGGAGCCGGATCTTTACTACTAATACTGACTTTGTTCTTTGTAGGGTTTAAAAACGCGTTTAATTTTTTTAGTGTTTCCTAAAAACGTTTTTTTACAGAGCCGTTATATAACGCCCAAAAAACGTTTTTTTTATCGTTATTTCTGCGGTATTTTGGACTGTCAAAAAACGCTACAGAAAAATAACGTTTTTATAACACCGTTTGCGGTATTTGTCGAAACGTTTGTAAACCCTAGTTCTTTGCTGGGGTTGTTGGTGGTTCAGGGTTATCCAATTCGTCATCCCATAGGTTCTCGTTGGATGATTCCCATGTTAGCTTTTCATTTGTTTTCTCAGTGTTTTCGTGTGCCGCGGTTGAGACTGTTGCTGCGGTTGCGGCTGTGCCTGTACCAATCAGTCACTCCACATGCTCGTCGTTTTGTCCAATCTATGAGTATTAAGTTTCCGTGAGTGATACGCAAGATGGCAGCACCTTAAATGGCGTTTTTATACACAAAGTAGATACTTGAGTGTAAATTATGTTAGTGGCGTATCAAAATGAAGGTTTAAAAAAAATACATTGTCAATATAGAGCGTGTGGTGTGACTGGTACCAATGGCTGGTAATAGAGAAAAATTACGTTACTCTTTCTAATCTCTTTCCTTCTTTAAAAAAAATAACCAAACTCCGAAATTCTCTAGTATTTCGTTTGCTTTCTTACTTGTGATCCATTTGGTGACCGATCCTTTTAGACCAAGAGCCCACCGTACAAACAACTTTTTTTCTTGTGCACTGC